TTGCCAGCCACTTTGACCACTTTGACCCGATCGCTGCTTGCCCTTCTTTGCTTTCATCGCTTTCATCGCTTTCATTGCCCTCACATTGCCGTCGTTGTGTTGGACCTTGGCCGCCTTCATTGCTTTCATGGCTTTCATTGCCCTCGTGTTGCCATCCTGCTTGGCGGCCTTCTTGGCCTTCATGGCCTTCATGGCCTTCATGGCTTTCATGGCTTTCATCTACTATGTAGGTAAGCTCTGCAGTTGATGCCTTGAACCTGTGTCTGCGCCACAGGGTGTAGGTGCACTCGCCGGGCGCACATGTCAAACAGGCACTTATTGGTCTCACTGAATTTCGTTAATAATCCTAGTAAAGTTACTACACTGTTGGATATTATTCTGCTTGCGTTCCGCATGCGCACGCCGGCCGTGCAAGTATATTTACAAATTCGATAATATTATTCTGCTTGCGACATGAATTTACGGATGTGTGCGCAGCGGGTCCTGCAGGCATACGCGCGACGGGCGCGCAGGAGTACGCGTGGCGGGCGGTAAACTGACGCAAAACCATAAATACCGAGTATTTCTTTTCGTCGGGAGGGCAGCTGTACATGTGAGTTGAATGCTTCATTGAAATGAACATTCAATTCATTCAATAGCATAATAATCATAATAATAATGCTTGCGACGGCGCGCGCCGAGTGCGCGCGCTGGCGCGCGCCGTGCGCGCGCCGGGCGCGCGCACGGCGCGCAGGTCTATACGTGCCAAGTCTACGCGTGTAGTATATTTGCACTATTCCTTAATATTCTGCTTGCAACGGTGTGCACCAGGCATGCTCTCGGGGCGCGCGCCGGGCGCGCGCCGGGTGCGCGCGGCGGCGCGCGCCCGTGGCACCGCGCGCCGGGCACGCGCCCGGCGCGCGCCGGGCACACAGGTGTATACGTAGCAAGTGTACGCGTGTAGTATATTTGCACTATTCCATAATATTCTGCTTGCAACGGTGCGCGCCGGGCGCGCGCGCTGGGCGCGCGGGCGGGCGCGTGCCGCACGTACAGGCGTACGCGCGAAGTGTAAGCGTGTACTATACTATATTTACACTATTCCATAATATTATGCTTGCAACAGAATTTACACATGTGCGCGCAGCGGGTTGCGACGGGCGCGCAGGAATGACATGTGGCGGTCGTTTATTACCACCCAAAACCAAATATACCCAGGGTGCGCGCGCCGGGTGTGCAGCGGGCGCGCGCCGGGCGCGCAGCGGGTGCACGCCGGGCGTGCCGGACGTGATAATACAATTCTTTAGTCTGTTTGCAACGTGCACAGGTCTGCGCGCCGGGAGTTGAGGCGAACGCGCTCCGGGAGTTGAGGCGTACGCGTGCCGGGCGCGCAATCTTGTAGTGGTACCGGCCGGATGTTTAGGGTTTAGGGTTTATGCAAACATGAGCAGCCGGACGAGCCTCCAAACACAATGTCGATCTTGCCAGCGAATTTGGCATGAAGAAGGCTTGACCTCAGGTCGACGAGTGCAGGGTTTAGGTCCAGCAATTAGTAAGGCACGTCAAGCAATTTGTTAAGCAACTGAGACGTTTTTTCTCGCCATTCCTGGTTTATTGTGAGACTGTGTATCCGTACATCAGTCCCTTTTTAAGTTTTTTGTGAGACTGCTTATACGTACAGTCCGTCTATACGTTGAGGACTCTTCCATGCCTGCGAAGCAGAAACCAAAGCTGATCTCTGTACGTGTCCCGCATGCCCAGCAACACCATTGACAGGAATCTCACAGCGAACAGTGGACGGATGACCTCGCAGTATTGAACTGCCATCCGTCTAGCATCCGTCACTGGAATCCGTTCAAACTCAAACGAGTTGGCCAGAATGCCCTCGCAAAGCCTTTCCATGGTTCCTCGATCAGGCAAATCCCAATCCCAGCCGGGAGGCTGCTCAACCAAGCCCCGCAATCTCTCTGCATCTACCGGGTTCACTTCCATTCGCAACTTTCCTTGGAGTACGTCGCATTGTCGAACCATGCGTACTTTCTGCATTGTTGGAATCCGTTCCTGTACACCTGCTTCCACAATATCACCTGCAGAGGATCCGCGTCTGTTGTGCTTGGTTTGGAAGTGCTGTAGCAAACTTCGTAGTTGCCGATCGCTCAAAAAAGCCCGCTCCATTTGCCATCCCATTGACAAGTTCATCATGACACATCCCAGCACCAGGTCGGTGCAGATTCGCTGGAATTCTTCTCTCGTAAACATGTTTCTTTCCATTTCCGTAGTGGCATCGGCCGCGGAACCATCGCTATCATCCGAATGATAAGGAGTCGTTCGATCGTCATCGTCACTTCCTTCAGGTCCATGAAGCCTGCCAAAATCCGTTCGATCCATTGCTGCACTTCCGTGGCAGTACGTCGAACTGGGGCACTTCTTTCCTAGTCGTGTCTTTGACGATCTGCGTGTATGCGCATGTCAATAATACTGCCTTGTTTGCATGAGGACAATCGCCTCAGTCGGAGTACACTCGCTCAGACAAAAACGGTTCGATCGCGTTGAATCTTGAGCTGAAAAGCTGCTGCAGTTCAACATGTTGAGCTTGGAAGCAACCCATGGTGCAGCCGTCAAGTCTTGGAAGGCCGTGTGGCTTAGGCCGGGGCTCTTCGAGGATCTCGATGCGCAGACTGTCTCAGCCTGGCCGCCGACAGACTGAAAGTGAGCAGAGGGATACTGATGCCATGCATGACTTTCCTTCTCTTCCTTCCCTTCCCGCCTCCCTCACATCACTCCTTGCTGCCTGCTCATTCCTCGCATCTACAGTCACACCCTCATCTTGATCATTCCTTCTTCCTTCCCTGCTTCCTTCCTTCCTTGCTTCCTTCCTTGCTTCGTTAATTATTTTCGCTGTGTCTCTCTCTCTCTCCCTCTCTCTCTCTGCATCAGTCTTTGAGGGTCCGGCTCACCCCTGCTCGGGGTTCATCCTCACCCCTGTTCGCGGTTCATCCACACCCCTGCATGGGGTTCTCACGACCCCTGTTCGGGGTCCAGGCTCACCCTTTTCGGGGTTCATCGGACGCCCCTGTGCGGGGCTCTAACGACCCCTGTTCGGGGTCCAAGCTCACCCCTGTTCGGGGTTCATCCACACCCCTGCACGGGGTTCTCACGACCCCTGTTCGGGGTCCAGGCTCACCCCTTTTCGGGGTTCATCCCGCAGCCCTTTCGGCCTTGGTGCGGGTACGCCCCTGTACGGGGCTCCGACGACCCCTCTTCGGGGTCCAAGCTCACCCCTATTCGGGGTTCATCCCGCGGCCCATTCAGGCCTTGGCGCGGGTACGCCCCTGTACGGGGCTCCGAAGACCTTGATGTGGCCACCTGACATCCTGACAGGGCCTGCACGAATGCCTACAACTACTTTTGCCTGCTACCTTTTAGGGTTGAAGGTTAGTTTAGGGTTTCGGGTTTTGGATTTAGGGTTCAGGGTTTAGGGGTTAGGGGTTTAGGGGTTTTAAACCTCTTTCCTCATAATGCCTCCTTACCTACATGCCCGCCTACCTAGCTATCTATCTACCTACCTACCGACCTGGAAGCCTGCCGACGCACCTACACCTACAAGTACCTTCCCTCCTGCCTATCTACTTATCCATACCTACTTGCCTACCTAACTATACCTCTCTACCTACCTGTGTGCCCCTTCCTACCTGCAGCTTCTGGGCTTGAATGGGTGGGCGGGTTTGGGGGTTGGGTGGGTTTAGAGTTTAGGGTTCAGGGTTTAGGGCATGGGCTGGACGTTACGAAAGTTCAGATTCCCTTCATGTTTAATCATGAACATGCTAATTTTCAAGTTGTTCTGAATCGTACAAACAGCTGACTTTAGGGTTTCAGAACACAAAATCTCAAGCTTTTTGTTTCCGTTGAGCCACAAGAACACCAAGTTACATTTGTTTGGTTTGTTCGGCATAAACGTATTTTCATTTTTTTGGCAACTTTAATTTCCATGTGAACTACAAAACTTGGGACAGGCAATTATGTCAGTATGGCTTTGATTTTTCGATGTACATGTTTTCACATTTCGATCAAACCAAGTTTTTCAGGCATTGATTTTTCTATTGAGCCACAAGCACACATCTTTTTATACATGTCCAGCATCTCGCTTCTTCCATATAGAGCGACAAGAACACAGTTTTTCAGGTATGCATCTCCATTTGGAAGAGACCAAGTTTTCAGGTCTTGTTTTCCATTGAGCCGCAAGAACACAAGTTTTCACATGTCCAGCATGTCTTCCATTGAGCCACAAGAACACATGTCTTGCTACATTCCATGTCACATCAACATCATAAGTCCTAGGACAAGAACACACTAAGTCCTAGGACCCGGTTCCATAATGGAAAGGACCCGGTTAGCCCCGGACTGGCATACTGACCGTGGTATTATTTCTAGAACCACAGCTATGTTCACAATCATCCTTGGTCCTCTTTTTCGCTGTTTCTCAGGCAACTTCTTGGTAACATGGCACCGCAGTCCGGCCAGCCAAAACCGCTACCCTCTCCTGTGCACGGGTTACAGTAACTCACACAGACATGTGCAGCGTAAGCCTGATAGTATTGTTGAGTAGCGCGCCTATTTTTGCTCTCATGATCATTATGGCTACGTACTTCTGCTGGCAGTCTGTTTCTCTTCCTACGGCCACTACACGACAACCGCTACTCCGTCTTGGTTTGTTCCCTTCTTGTCCTCATGATTGTGATCGTAGTGGTGGTAGTTGTAGTGGTAGAGATGATATCTCAATCTTGGTGCACGCGCCTTCCAGGAGAAAGTCGCTCCGTCCTGGTTCTGAAGCATCTCGGCTGATACTGGATGTACGCCTGCGCGGCGCTAGGAAGACTTACTTGTCAGGCTTTAGGGCTTCGGACGTCACGTCACGGTTTCACAGAGTTCGGTGAATGGCACCGAAGTCGGATGTTAATTACTCCAAAACTGCAAAGTCTGAGAAGTGTGGAGGGCTGGCATGGCAGACCACACATCCCGAGGAGTGCCTTCTATGCACTAGCTCCGGGCAAAGTCTTCGGTGTCGCACCTTGGATGCAGCAGAGGTGGACCATTATTGCAGTACAAGCCCAGAAATTTATGCAGAAGTAGCTTAGCCGCTTGAAGCAAAAAGACCAAGGGAATACGAGGCGTGCTGCAATCTTCTTCCAAGCCCGTACTAAGATCACCTCAGGTGAATCCGATAATACAGTCTGAAACCAAGCTATTTATCGCTTGTGATGCGAACATGCATATTTCTGCAGCCAGTGGACAGCTTTTTTAACTAGCAGGGCTGGAGTGGGGAAGCGTATAATCCTTAACGAGGTACTGCAGCGACTCTCACGCGAGAGCAGGCTATTCTGGAACCACTGGGCCTTCGAAGGTGCTCCGCCGGAGAGATGTGCACGTGGGCGGTGCAGGATCTAGGGTTTAGATTCTCGTGAGGAGTCGGTAGGCTGTCATGTTCCTAGCGGCACACGGCGTCCATCGATGCGTCAGTGGACCTGGCACCTAGATAACTCAGAGACGACAGAGAGGGCAGAGAAACCGTGACAAACTTGCGCAAGTTAGTCCTGCATTGGTTGCTTCAGTTCAAGGTCGGACACACCCCGCTCTAAACGTTCTGTGAGGCAAGCGGAACACCTTCCTGAACTTCGAGGAGATGGCCTCGCATTCCTGTGCCGTGTGCCTCCGACGGGTTTAGGTTTTAAGTGCCCTGGGTCGGAGCTCCGAGAGTTGGACTTTTGGGCCAGCGCCCACTGCAGACCTTGGAATGTCAGTGACAGACAAAGGCCCAGGCCGACAGAGATAACGAGCACGCAACAGCACCTTCTTGGACGCGCTTGAAGGCCTTGGGCACCTGACCGTCGCCCAGAGCCTAAGCTGTCACCCGGTATCGAAAGCTTCACGTTCGACTACAACCACCGTGAAACTGCCGCGGACCGCGGAATTCAGACTCCCGCCAGGCACAGTGCTTGCACACCACACTTTCGACCCTAGGCATTGGGCCCTGGAAGCATGGCCGAGAACACGAAGCTTCGCCAAGCAGGTACGTCGCCCCGGAGTTTTCCCAGCTTTTGCTGCGCGACCCTGGGCTGGAAGTCAGGCCCAGGTCAGGCTGTGGCCTTGCAAGTCTGAAGTCTGCTGTGGCACAGGCAGGCAGGCTGAAATGCTTCTAAATCAGTTGCAAGATGCTGGTCTTACGGTAAACTCAGTGAGCCACAAGTACGCTGCATGCTGCAATCATTTTCAGAGTTATATTCAGATGTCTGGCAAAGCACTTCGAAGCGATGCACCGCGACGCTTGAGGACATCTATGGCATTGGGCTGCCTATCCTCGCTCCGAATCTTGAGTGGCATCGCCGGCTGCTAGCAAGCTATCAGAGTCACAACTTTTCAAGGGCTCTCTTCTCGAAACCCGGTCTAGCTTGCTGTTCTCGTAGATCTGAACGCCCACAGCAGCGAATCGTGCCTTAGACAAGCTTGTGCAAATGAGGCAGTTGTGCTGGTAAATCACCATTGGCTGCCCACTGACACCATCTATCACTTAAGTAGCGAAATGGCTTGAGCCTATGAACTGATGAAGCAAACATTCAAGCCTTGAGCAGAGTGCTGACGTTTCTGCAGCGGCTCCTGCGCTGTGTTTGCATTGAAGGCTCTTGCAGCACATCTTCGCGTCCTGGGGGCAACTGCACAGCGAGCATGACATTGGCCGGCAGAGGCCCCGTCCTCAGGTATGAGAAGACCTGCATGTGATAATGAACTGCAGGGAAACAGGAGTCTTTTTGTCCATCGCAGCCCAAGAGCCTCAACCTGTGGTTCATTATGATTCTGCTGGAACGTCCTGAACGTTTGAGCTGCTTCTGGTTGCGAAGGCCGCCTGAGTCGAAGAACGCGGAGGCGGGCCAGCCCTTGGTAGCAATCTTTGAAAAGAGCCCTCAGGCATGCAAGCTGGGCTTTCATTTTGGCACAAACAGTCTCCGCTGTTCTCATTCTCGGTGCTGAATTGATTTGTTTTGCATCTTTGGTGGTCTCTGGCCGTGGGCTTGACAACTGCTGGTGTGGTTCTGCATGTCAGCTCTGCCAAACAAATCACAACGAATGGTCGCGCGATGTCGCGTGTCAATGTCTGGTTGAAGACGAGCTTGCTCTCTATAGTGCGAGTTCGAACAACCGGAGCCCTGTCAGCCCGAAGCTTGCGAGGCCCACTGCCCTCAGCCGCGGCCAGGTGCAGTCACATCAGATTTTCGATGCAGCCGGGCAGTGGCCGTTTCCTCCGTTCTACAACCCCTTGGAGCATCCTGCATGCAAGCAAGTTGTAGAGCAGTGGCAGCCGCAGCAGTAGCAGTAGCAGTAGCAGTAGCAGCAGCAGTGGCAGCAGAAGTTGTAGAAGCGGCAGTTGTGGTGATGGTGGTGGTGGTCGTCGTAGTGGCTGCAGTAGCAGGACCAAGCTATGTTAAGCACAACGGCACTACCTGCACTGCAATTATTGAAACTGCCCAAGCACTTGATATATTCTCCGTCACAGACAAGTTTCCTTTTTCCAGCAATTGCAGAGCAGCTGGTTCACCCAGGCACCCGCTGGAGCGGCTGAAATTTTGGCTACCGCTGGCGGAAGCACCCCGCCTTCGGATTTGTGGACTTAGGTTCAACCAGGCTTAGATCGAGGACTGACGTGGTTTGTTTAGACTGCAAGGTTTTCGGTTGAGAGCTCATGACTTGAGGTCAATGCTTTGTGCGGTTTGTGAGAAGCAGCTTCCGGTTAGATCTATCTAGCGGCGGAGCCTGCTCCTTACTCAAGGTACACCGCTACCCGTACATCCTTTATTTTCGGTCGCTGACGGAGTCTTGGCTCCAAATTCACAGCAGTCCAGATGGTGAGCTCTTTCGGACATTGCTGGACAGCCCGTCCCTACCCACACTTTCACCTGCGCTCATTCAGACATGCACAGACGTTGGTTGATCCCCGCCTTGCGATCTTTGACCCGACGCACAGTGCAGCTCGGTCTACACCGTGCTTATCTACACCCTCAAAGTCTCAACGTGACACCATACCTTTGTTCACATGAGGCTGAGGGTTGGTCATTGCGGCGGCAATATAGGTGTGGTTTCGGACTTCAAGAGCACAGGAACAGCAAAACAAGGGACTCACAAGGAAAAGCTAAGGCAGAATCGCGCATGGGCAGGCATGAACCTGGTCGCAATCGAGAAGACGCAAAACAGATAAGCAGGCGTATCAACAACAATATGAGCGATCTGAGCAAGTGCCACCACCATCCACCACCATCATCATTATCACCATCACCATCCATCATCATCATCATCATCACCATCACCACAATCGTCGTCGTCATCACCATCATCGTCAACACCATAAACCACCACCACCACCATCATCATCATCATCATCATCATCATCATCATCATCGCGACCATCATCGTCACCATCATCATCATCATCATCATCCTCGTCTTCATCCCGCTGATGGTGCTGCTGCTGCTGCCTCTGTTGCTGCTACTGCTCCTCGTACTACTACTGCGACGACGATTACTGCTACTAGAACGAGGACGACCATTACTACTGCTGCTGCTACTGCTGCTGCTACTACTACTACTACTACTACTACTACTACTACTACTACTGCTAGTAGTGATTATTGCTTATATACACCGAGCCCCCGAGAAGGAGCTTTTGGAGCTCGCAGAGACCGCTAACTTCGAGCATCAGAGTGCTGAGATTCAGGCTGAGAGCTCAGAGTTTCTCGAGAAGGGTCCTAATGCCCTGAACTCCAGGCGCTGAGTTCCCACAGCACAGTCCTGCGAGCCCCAATGTCTTGCAACGCGAATCATTCTGTCTACCTCCGCCGCCTCCTCTGCAGGCCCATGGCCGAATCATTACGGCCAACGTTCGTGGCTTCTACCGCCGGGCGCTGGCCCAGCTCATTTCCGCGACAGGCCACACTGAGAGTGGTAGGGCTGGTAGTGCCGTCGGGGGAGGGTTCAGGACACCATCTAGGAGAAACTGGGAGCTCCTTCGTCGCAGGGATGCTTTGGTACTGTTGTGATTCGGCTTCCAGGGAGCTTCCTGTTTTGGGATGAAGTTCGTCGGTTCTCGAGTCTGGAGTGCATTAGGGCTTGATGTTTCAGATGTCTACCATACTTGACAGCGAGGCCAGCAGCGCTGACTGATGTTTGGGTTTCCATTCAGAGCCAGGTGTTGGCGACAGCAGAATGTAGGCCCGCAGGACAAAGTCAAGCAGTATTGCTGACTACTTCACAGTCATACATAGTTCAATGCAGATGAGCGCCACATCAAGTTCAGCCTACAGCACTCGCAAGTGCAGGCCTCGAAGGATGACTCGGGATTGGCGCCTGAGCACTGCAACCTGGCCTTGTAAGCAATCCCTTTGGTTGTGATGGTTGCTTTGCGGAATCAAGATTGACACAGAGGAATCCCAATGAGAGCGACGAGGTGGTCTATGTGTAGAAGATCGCAGAAGAGCAGCTCTCGGTTTCTCCATCCTTGTCGCCGAGCCCTGCTTCAACTTTCGCAACCACTGTGAGCAGGTGCGATCTCCACTGCTGAAATATATTAGGCATTGTTCTAAGCTTCTCGAGTTTGCAGATGTTCGGCCATGATGTGTTGCTACATTCTTGATGCAGAGTTTTGCTACAGCCGCCGCAAATCTGTCGAATCGAAAGTCTTTCTGCAGCTTGCAGGCTGCATCGAATGGTCAGCCGTGATGCGAGCACGACGGCAGGCAGAAGCTTTGTGGGTGGAGTTCCGTCCAAAAGGCTTTTCGCAGGACCTCTGGCTCCTTTGCCTCTCTGATTGTGCCCTTCCTCGGGTCCGGCGAAGCTGCCTCGAAATCGAAAGCCGGTTCTTTTCTCCGACATTTAGTTTACCCAGCATCCCATGTGGAGTCGCATCACACGGGGTGGGTCCAGGCTAGGTTTTTGTTTACGCAAGTGCTTGTGTGAGTGGTTCGCAGTAGGTGTAGATTCTCGAATGCTTGCAGGCGTAGCTTCTCGGAGGTGAACCGGAAGTGCAGGAGCTCCTTCAAAGGTGTGATAGAGTTCACTCAATTTCCCAGCCTCTCCAGCGGCTGGAATTCGTGACGAACTCTGAAGACCCAGCGAGCCCAACCTTGAGTTCGTGGACTAAAGGGGTACTGAATCACTGGGCAGATCTCAACGGTTAACATGAAGTACACAGGCAGGGCTTCTTCTGTTTCTCTTGGCGGGTGGTCAAGCAGAGTCGAGCATTTTGCAGGGGTTGCATGCGCAGGGACCCGGCAAAAGAAGCCACCGACAAGCTACTTGTACAAGCTGATGTTGCAAACTAGGCATGGCTAGGCGAAGCCGGGACACCGAAACTTTCGCAGAATCCCCACTCAAACTGAGTATCCGCCCTTGCTATCCATGACCTTTGCTGGCCTGGGGTTTGGGGACTTGGAGGGGTGTCTGACGTGTCTGAAAGGCTTGTTCAAACTCTAGGCCGGGCATCTGCATCCGGAATGTCTTGACGCTTTCGGGGTCTTATCCTTAAGTACGTTGGAATGGGATGGACGGTCAGGAGACGGCGATAGAGCCACGAACCGTCGGGAACGCGACAAGCAGAAACCTTGGTCTGGGAAGAGCTTTTGAACTTGTGGCTGCATTAAAATCAGTCTGTAGTTTCACTATCGTTTTTTTTACGTTTGCGGCTTTGTGTTTGCGCAAGGCGAGCTCTGGCTCGGCTTCGGCTCGTCAGGCAGCCCCTGCAGAACAGCTCAGCCCAGAGAGCCCAATACCCCTTAATTAAGGAAATGTAGCTTGAATAAATCTTAATTATGAAGCCCTAGTAAACTTAAGCCATATTCCTTGGGGTATTTGGGAGCACCTCATCTGGGTTCAAGCTAAGGATTTGGGAAGCCGAGGCCGTTGCGGAGATGCTGTGAAGTCGCAGCAAGAAGGCCCAGCCTGCTGCTCGCAGATCGTCGTCACCGGAGCTGTGAAGGGGGCTGTCAGATTTCTCGTGGATAGGCTTCGCGCACGCTTTGGGCATTCTTCCATGTAGCGAAACTCCTGGACCGCACAGCCGCCTCTGCTGACAGGAAGAGCCAAAGGACAGATGGTGCAACTCCAGGAAGCGAACATCTGAAGACGATTCCAGCGGGTCCTTCCAAGCGGGGCAGCTACAGGATTTAAACTCTGGACGCTGTAGACTAGGGACTGTAGGGTGGTGTGACTTGAGCGTAGAACTACGAATGTTGGTATCAACATTATTTCAGTCAACAGTATAAGGGGCGGTTTCTGTATTGATTGATATCCCCGAACTGGCTAGGACCACAGCAGCAGAGACCTGCAGCAACGGATATGCAAGGCCACGAGATCCAGGAACGCTTGTATTTTTATAATTGGACTTTGGATCTGGGACAGCCGGTCGTCCGACTTGTTTGGTAGCTCGCACTGCTCAGCTTGGGTGGCTGCAGGAAGTGCAGTGCTGAGCCTTGGTGCTGGTGGTTTTCCATCGCATCAAGGCTCAGCGTCTCTCGTCCTTGCATGTTCATCCCTGGCAAGCGGTGCAGATGCAGCCAGACTTGTTCGACAGCCGGCTTTCCCTTCGTCAAACCTCCACCCTGCTTGACCGAATCCTGAGCCATTGCAAGTCCCGCTGGTCCTGGACCAAGCCCTCGCCACCGTCCCTCCGCCCCATTGATTCTACATCAATGGAGGTTTGAAGCCTCGTGCATCCGCTTGAGCCTCGAGTGTGCTGAGTGTGGGACGTTGCATAGCGATCCCTTCTTGCGGGTATTGCCAGCTCTTCGTGGGAAGCTCGACTTGCCAGCATCGCTCCATGCCGCCCGCCGCGCCCCCCCCGGCCTCAGCCCTCAGCCCCACTGTCCACGAAGCCTCACACTGCTAGAGCCCATCACCTTCGGAATGCCAGCGTGCGCAAAGCGCATGTGCCCAAGCACATGTGCATGCGCGTGCTTGCCTTCTGAAAGTGGGGGGCTTTAGCAGTGTGAGGCTTCGTGGACAGTGGGGCTGAGGGCTGAGGCTGGGGGGGGCGCGGCGGGCGGCATGGAGCGATGCTGGCAAGTCGAGCTTCCCACGAAGAGCTGGCAATACCCGCAAGAAGGGATCGCTATGCAACGTCCCACACTCAGCACACTCGAGGCTCAAGCAGATTCGTGGGGTGTGTGGGCATGGACTGGTGGGGCTGCAGCGGCTGTGATGGATTTGGAAGGGCGGGGTGTGGGCGGAGGGACGGTGGCGACAGCAATTTTGCACTTCTCGACATATCTAGCTTGCATGATGGAAATTGAAATTCTTGTGGCCTTAGCAGCCCCAGTTGCTTTGTCCGCATGCCGCAGAGTTCTATTTTCCTCGCAAGGTGTCCTTGATGCAGCGAACACAGTGTCAGCGCAGTGTGCATCTATGTGCGACCGCTGTGCCGCGAGCATTCTCAGGTGGTTTGTGGTTTGCCGGATGTTCCTGTGCAGACCCAGGGCATCCTCACAAATTGCCGTGATTGTAGTTAATAATCAAATCTAACAGAAGCTGTTGAACTTGTGCAACCTCACGGGTGTCCTCGCTGTGTGACTGGAAGCCTCGCACACTCCGGTGGAACTCTGCAGTCTTGCGAAAACCACTGTAATCTGTCGATTCGGAGGCCAATTTGGCCGCTGCGATTCCGGCAGTTCAGGTACGCCTCCTCGACGACATCGCTTTCAACTGTTACGCTTAGGGGCATTGCTGTCATTGAAAATCGTAAAAAAGCACAACAACCCCTTTCCCTTAAAACAACCGAAAGCACCAAAACCAAAAAGCACAAACAAATACCAAAGCCAGAACAAACAAAAACACCGAAACCAAAAGAACAAAGACAACCAAAGCCAAAGCCCAAAAACCAATTTCACCATTATTTTAGTACTCTTCCCGGATAGAACTAGACATGTACACAAATGGAAGAGTTATGACATAATGCTTTTTGTTTGTTTGTTTTGTTGGGTTTTTTTGGTTAATTAGTTTTGTTTTGTTTTTTGGTTTCTGACGACGTTCGTATCAATCGTAGCGACGCTGATGTATCCAATAGACAGCTCAATGAATCGCTGTGCGTTCAAAAGAACCGATGCGTGTCTTTCGTGTGGTGCATCACAGTCCTCGCTCATGCATCGCTGATCTCACTCATGCCGTATGCGGTTTATCATTCGCGTCGTTCCGTACTCAAGCCTAGTTCTATTTTCCGTTGACTCATATCAGTAGAACAGTCGCGATTCATGACAGGCTTCCGGGGGCCTCCCCAACACCTATGAAACTATCGTGGTTGGAAAGGACTGTAGTGACAAAGGGTGAGATTAACGTGCACATGAAATTGACGTGCAACCACCAACCAACTGAACTAGTATTATTCCAACCACTATATGAACTAGTCTCCATCGTATTGTACTCGTCTAGGCTTAACATTAGCAACCACTTAGATGCACTGGTCTAAACGTTAACATAAGACCACTAGAACATATCTACCAAAAAACCTTAGATAGCGTAACATGTACTAACTACTACACATAGCTGACTTCAGCCATTCATACCAATACCAATAGCTGTTAATTTGGTGTTAGTAAGTCACTTTCATACTTCATCTGATAGTACATATAATAGACATAGAGTAGCAATGAGTGTATGTAATGATAAGATAAGGCATAATGACTGTGCGCAATAACAAAATAGAATCACGTAGACCTATATCAACAGCACTGATTACCACGTATAATGCCAGTTGGACCACCTATTGTAAACAGACGGTATGAAAGATATATCAGTTGTGAAATAGTATTCTTAGACATGAATTAAGTATTCAGATATGTAGAACACCAACCAAAAGATCTTGACTAACCAGTTGGCAATGATGTAACCAATGCATTGGGCTGTAAAGTTAGCTCTTGCATCCCTATCCCATACTAATGTTAAACATATATGATGTGCCCCCAAACTATCCTACTAGACAAATACAACTCAGAGCTCAGACCACAGACAAGCTAACCAAAGACATTAGACATGTAACAGGCCAGTTATTGTTAAATTGTTGAATACCAAATGCTGGCAGTCTTAATGTATAGACTTCTGGATGTCCACAAGACCAAAACAAATGTTGATCCAGAGGACCACCTCCAAAGTATGGATCAAAGAATATTGTATTAGTGTTTTCTGTTAATAACGTGAATTAGTAAAGCACATGTTATTATCGGTAGAGCCATGAATAAGATAGATGATGTAATCCCAACTCATCTAGATTTATGTTGGTTATGCAGCTGAACATCAACCTAGTGATTTTAGAGTGTGACAGGTAATTCAGAAGTCTATGTTAATATT